GTTTAGTGACTGTTCCAAGTTACAACAGCACTGAAAAACTTCTGTTTTTCATACTTAACGCCCATTGCATCATCTCCATGGTTACATGATCAAAATCCAGATACTTGGCACCTGACTCGTATTTATGACGGTCGCATCCCGGAGTCACACGATCCCCATTTGAGACCTTCTGACGAGCAAAAAATAAAAAACGGAGAAGCTAGATTCACTTAACAACCATGTTACTAACTTAACAACGGCAGTGGTTCGCTTAACAACTGTGGCAAGAAAGGTCATAAAATGGAGCAACACCCAGTTAGCCACTGAAATTTTGAGCTCAGGTGGTTGTAATTCAAGATTGTAGCCAGCGGTGGGTTTCACATTTTATTGCTATCGGCCTTCCGCGCATGCACTTTGCTCGCACGCGCACGTCTTCCGCGTATGCGCCCGGCCTCAAAACCGTGCCTAAATAGGACGGCATAGAGCCAGGGAGGGTGAGCGGGGGCCCACCTGCGATCTCCGCTACCAATTTGCCCGAACCGGTACGAACAGCCTGAATACAGCCGAATGACTTTTTATTAGGTCCGCCTGATTCGCCAGTTGCGTCCCTTTCTGGATCGGGACTCGTTATGTACAGTCATTCATGCCCTCGTCACCTCGCGCCTGGACTACTGTAATGTTCTCTACATGGGGCTTCCCTTGAGGAGCACACGGAGGCTCCAGCTGGTCCAGAATGCAGCCGTGCGGGTGGTTATGGGAGCGACGTGACGCTCCCATGTGACTCCCCTCCTGCGCGAGCTGCACTGGCTCCCGGTGGTCTTCCACGTGCGCTTCAAGTTTTGGTCACCACTTTAGAGCGCTCCATGGCTTAGGACCGGGTACTTACGAGACCGCTTTCTGCCACCAGTAGCCTCTCACCGACCAGTACGCTCCCATAGAGAGGGGCTCCTCAGGGTGCCGTCGGCCAAACAGTGTCGACTGGTGGCGCCCAGGGGGAGAGCCTTCTCTGTGGGGGCACCTGCCATCTGGAATGAGCTCCCCCCGGAGATATGGAGGATCCCAGATTTACGCACTTTCCGCCGTGCCCTCAAAACATTTTTATTCAGCAGGTGGTCTGGCTTGACTCTCCTTTTAATTTGTTTTTAAGTTTTATACAAATTGGGTGTTTTTAAATTCGTTTTTTGGGCCAAAATTATTTAATGTACTTTTAATGGTTTTTAACTTTTGTATGATGTATTTTTATCTTGTGGCTGTTCACTGCCTGAGTCCTTCGGGAGTAGGGCAGTATAAAAATAAAATAAAATAAAATAAAATAATAAAATAAAATAAATAATAAATATAAAATATAATATAATAAAATATAATAAAATAATAAAATAAAATAAAATAAAATAAAATAAAATAAATAAAATAAATAATAAAATAAAATAATAAAATAAAATAAAATGAAATAAAATAAAATAATAAAATAAAATAAAATAAAATAAAATAAAATAAAATAAAATAAATAAAATAATAAAATAAAATAAAATAAAATAAAATAAAAAATACCACTGAATACAATCTACCACCGATTGTAGCTCAATTTCTCTCAGTTGCAAGCTAATGTCCTGAGCAGGATTTACAAACAAGGATTAGGAACTACTAGGCTGAATGTGATGCGATAAGCTGGAACAATAAATTTCCCTGCTGTTCCATTACTAAAGCCATAAATATTTATCGAACGCCACAGCCATAAATACAGGACTGACCTGTGAAGTCATTTGTATGACAATTGGATGTACCCAGGGGAAAGCAAAAAAGCTCACCCAGCCTAACGAAAGTCAAGTTTTCAGAAAAACCAAGGACTACAGATAGTCCTCCACTTACAGCAGTTCATTTAGTTCTGGGGTCTGCAACCTTAAACACTCAAAGAGCCATCTGGACCCGTTTCCCACAGAAAAGAAAACTCCGGGAGCCACAAAACCCTTCCCGTGCCTGACTATTTCTTGAGCAGCACAAAACAAGCAAATGTAGTTGAATTAAACCTTCTGTTTTCTTCTGAAACTTTTCTTTTCTTGGATTTATCCATGGTTGGCCTACTGGGGGGTTTGAAAAGCTCAATAAATCACGTGCCGGCGGGTGTTGCACATTGGCGGTTGTGACGCATATTTTGAGTGGCAGGGAGCCGCAGCAGAGGGGTGAAAGAGCCACATGCGGCTCCAGAGCCACAGGTTGCTGATCCCTGATTTAGTTCAAAGTTACAACAGGACTGAAAAAAAGTTATTTATGATCATTTTTTGCAGTTACCAGCTTTGTATCATCCCTATGATTGTGTGATCAAAATCCCCATGATTGTGCAATCAAAATGCTTGGCAACTGATTCATACTTATGACCATGGCTTGTGTCCTAAGATCACGTGATCCCCTTTTGCGACCTTGTAACCAGCAAAGCCAATGGGGAAGCCAGACTCACTTAACAACCAGGTTACTGACTTATCAACTGCTGTGATTCACTTACCGACGCTGGCAAGAAAGGTCGTAAAATGGGGCAAAACTCACTGAACAATTTTTTTTTTTTAATTTGATTTATATGCCGCCCTTCTCCGAAGACTCAGGGCGGCTTACAATGTGCTCAGCAATAGCCTTCATTCTTTTGTATATTTATACAAAGTCAGCTTATTGCCCCACAATCTGGGTCCTCATTTAACCTTCCTTAGAAAGGATGGAAGGCTGAGTCAACTTGAGCCTTGGCAAGATTCGAACCTGCAGTAATTGCAGGCAGCTGTTCTTAATAACAGGGTGCTTTAAACCACTGTACTACCAAGGCCCTTATGTCTCACTTAACAACAGAAATGTTGGGCTCCACTGTGGTCGTAAGTCGAAGACTAGCTGTATGTCACATCACATCCTACATGTACCATCAACAAACTATCACCGAGTTTGATGTACCAAGAGAAGTATGTTTAGCTGATTTATATTAAAAAATAATAATGAAAAATTAAGTTTTAGCCCCCATACTATGCACAGGTAGTCCTTGACTTATAATTATTTGCTTAGTGACAATTCAAAGTTACAACGACACTGAAAAAAAACGGGCTTATCAATCAGTCCTCGCACTTATGACCATTCTTCATCCTCACAGCCACGTGACCAAAATTTGGGCGCTTGGAAACCAACATATATTCACAACGGTTGCAACATCCTGGGATCCTGTAATCACAATCTGTGAACTTCCCAGCTGGCTTCTGACGAGCAAAATCAATTGGGGAAAATTAAGATTCGGTTAACGTCCGCATAATTCACTGACTGAAACAAAGTCAATGGGAGAAGCGGACTCGCTTAACATGCACATAAATCACTTAAGTGCAGCGATTCGCTTAACAACCATGGCAAAACGGTTGTAAAGTCAGGCACAGCTCACTTAATAATCACCCTGCTTAGTGTCAAAAATTCTGGTCCCAACTCAAGGATTTTCTGTAGCGAACTCAGGCTGAGGCAGCACTATTTCAACCCCGATTTATTCAAAATTGTGTCCCTATTTATTCGTGCCACCAGCCGTCTGCCTCCGAGACACATTCAACAATGCAAAAACCTATGTTTTATGCAGAAGAGATTGCATGCCTGCGAAACACAGAATCTTCAGCCCGAATGGGGTTCCGAGAGGCCATTTAATCCACCCTCCTGCTCAACAGGAATCAAACTTGAATGGCTGCCCATCAAATTCCCTGTCCAGCTTCTGCACGGAGACATCTATAAAAAAAAATTGGACAGTCCACCACACCCTTTGGCCAGTATTTTTTTTTTTTTTGAAGAAAAGAACATTGTTGGAATCTGCCAACAGAAATAAAATAAAATTTATTTATTTATATTTCATATTGATATTAGCTTTTGATCTTCCTTTCTCTCTCACCTGCTTCAGATACCTGGAGTGGTTGATCCTATTTTTTTTTTCATCGCCACTTTTTTGGCAAAGCTCTTTCAAATTTCTCCCAGAAACTCAAGAGTGGGAAGGACCTCAAAGGTCATCAAGTCCAGCCCCTTGCATACAGGATTCCCTAACAGCATCCCTGACAGTTGACTAGCCAACCTTTGTGTAAAAACCTCCCATTCCTTTGATTGACAAGTCTTTTACAAGGGCTTTCTTAATTATCTATCTACATCAGTGTTTTTCAACTTTGGCCATTTTGAAGATGAGTGGACTTCAACTCCCAGAATTCCCCAGCCAGCAAAGCTGGCTGGGGAATTCTGGGAATTGAAGTCCACCCATCTTTAAGTTGCCAAGGCTGAAAACATAGAATAATAAAATCGGAAGGGACTTCGGAGGTTTTCTATAGTCCAACTTCCCCTGCTCAAACAGACTTTTATTTACATCCTTGATATTTTATCTCATGAGTTCTAGGAACTTGGCAAGATTTTAGGGAGGGGCAGAGAAACGAAACAACGAAGCAATGGCCTTTGTCGAAGAGGAACTATGTTACAAAAACAGTTGAATTGGGAAGTTAGGCACTCCACTCCCTGTTTTAACATCAAAACACAACTCCACAATTGATTCCACACAATGCACCAAGCCCCATTTAGTGTGAGGGCTAAAGCTGGTTACCACGGGTTCGTAAACCACAGTTTATCATTGGTGCAAAGAGCTGGTCGATCAGAAAGGTGGGCAGTTCGGCGGTTCGAATCCCTAGTGCAGATCTCCTGCGCGAGCAGGGGGTTGGACTAAATGACCTCCAAGGTCCCTTCCAACTCTGTTACTGTTAATCAGTCCAGCCCAAGCCAGACCTAAGCTTAAGGAAGGGGTCTTTTTTTTCTAAAAAACAAATATTTGTTTGTTTGTTTGTTTGTTTGTTTGTTTGTTTGTTTGTTCGATTTATATGCCGCCCTTCTCCGGAGACTCAGGGCGGCTTACAATGCGTTAAGCAATAGCCTTCATACTTTTTGTATATACCTGCTTAGTAGGGGTTTTGCCACCCCCCAAGCAGTGTTCTTTTTAATACAAAATCAGCTTATTGCCCCCACAAACGGGTCCTCATTTTACCTACCTCGGAAGGATGGAAGGCTGAGTCAATCTTGAGCCTGGCGACATTTGAACTCGCAGTAATTGCAGTCAGCTGGCAGCTAAGTAGTACTTTAACAGCACTTAAGTCCACTGCGCCACCAAGCTCCAATCCAGTGACTTCTTGGCTTTTCCTTACTTTTTCATTCAAGTTTCTAGTCCCTGGGGCAAAGGGGTGTGTGGAAAAGAGGAGTTTGGCCAGAAGAAACTTCTTGGAATTAGGCTGCTTCAGGAGGAGGAGGAGGAGGCTAGTTCCAACAGGTTCCTTGTTCCTCCTGGCCAAACAGCACCCCATTCCCACCTCCTTTGCCCCAGGGACTAGAAACTTGAATGAAAAAAAGTAAGGGGCAAAGAGAAGAGTGGAAGCTAAAAAAAAAAGGGGGGGTACATATTCCTTTAAACTAAAGGCAGAAGCCAATGTCTCTCTCCCCCCCCCCCACAAATCCCGTTTTCTTTCTTTAGCCTCGGGTCGCTTACACCTGCAAGCTGCGATCTCTCCACCCTCTTTTTGCCCCGGAAGCCCCGAGGTGGCTTCTTTGCAAGCCAGGATTGCCCCGATTTTGCAAGCCACCATTGCACAATTGCACCAACCCCTGCCCGGAGCAAAGACCCTTCAAAAGAAGCAACGAAAAGAACCCATTGTTGCAAGATGAAAGACACCCCCCCAAGAAAAGCAAGCAAGGGAGGAGGAGGAGGAAAGCGAGGAGGATCGAGTAGATCTCCGGGGATCCCTGCACACACACACACACACACACACACACCCGATCGGTCTGCGAGCTTTTAAACCCGCGTCTCCTGCACCAGGGAACGGCGGAGGGGAGCTCTGGCTTTGCAAGACGGCGCCCGCGGTCGCCGCAAGCCTCCCACCCATCCACGGCCGACGCTGCTCCGGCGATCCTTGCCTCCCCCCAGCCTCACCTCGCTCGCCAGCAGCCGCTCTCCGGCTCCCAGCCACCTTACACTTCCCACCGCCAGCTGTGAATTTTTAAAGGGGAGGGGCTTGGCTCAGAGGGAGGGGCGAGAGCCCGCGCTTGCGCGTCTCTTTCCACGGGGGTGGGGGTGGGAGGGAAGGAATTAATTAGAATAGAATAGGATAGGATAGGAATAGGATAGGATAGGATAGGATAGGATAGGATAGGATAGGATAGTGAACCCAGAACAGATTACAGAATAAAATAGATTACAGAAGAATAGAAATAGAAATAGAAATAGGATAGGATAGGATAGGATAGGATTGGGATTGGGATTGGGATTGGGAATAGAATAGAATAGAATAGGAATAGAATAGAATAGAATAGAATAGAATAGAATAGAATAGAATAGAATAGAATAGAATACTGAACCCAAAACAGATTACAGAATAAAATAGATTACAAGAAGAATAGAAATAGAAATAGAATAGGATAGGATAGGATAGGAATAGGAATAGGAATAGGAATAGGAATAGGAATAGGAATAGGAATAGAATACTGAATCCAGAACAGATTACAGAATAAAATAGATTACAAGAAGAATAGAAATAGAATAGAAATGGATAGGATAGGATAGGATAGGATAGGATAGGATAGGATTTAGGATAGGATAGGATAGGATAGGATAAGAATAGGAATAGGAATAGGAATAGGAATAGGAATAGGAATAGGAATAGGAATAGGAATAGAATAGAATACTGAATCCAGAACAGATTACAGAATAAAATAGATTACAAGAAGATAGAAATAGAAATAGAAATAGAAATAGAAATAGAAATGGGATAGGATAGGATAGGATAGGATAGGATAGGATAGGATAGGATAGGATAGGATAGGATAGGATAGGATAAGAAAGAATAGAATAGGAATAGAATAGGAATAGGAATAGAATAGAATACTGAATCCAGAACAGATTACAGAATAAAATAGATTACAAGAAGAATAGAAATAGAAATAGAAATGGGATAGGATAGGAATAGGATAGGATAGGATAGGATAGGATAGGATAGGATAGGATAAGAATAGGAATAGGAATAGGAATAGGAATAGGAATAGAATAGGAAAAGGAATAGAATAGGAATAGAATAGAATACTGAATCCAGAACAGATTACAGAATAAAATAGATTACAAGAAGAATAGAAATAGAAATAGAAATAGAAATAGAAATAGAAATGGGATAGGATAGGATAGGATAGGATAGGATAGGATAGGATAGGATAGGATAGGATAGGATAAGAATAGGAATAGGAATAGAATAGAATAGGAATAGGAATAGGAATAGAATAGAATACTGAATCCAGAACAGATTACAGAATAAAATAGATTACAAGAAGAATAGAAATAGAAATAGAAATAGAAATAGAAATAGAATGGAATGGGATAGGAAAGGGAAATGGGAATGGGAATGGAATGGGAAAGGAATAGGAATAGAAATAGAATACTTTATTGGCCAAGTGTGATTGGACACACAAGGAATTTTTCTTTGGTGCATACGCTCTCAGTGTACATAAAAAGAAAAGATATTTGTCAAGAATCATAAGGGATAACACTTAATGATAGTCACAGGGTACATACAAAGAAGCAATCGAATCATACCAGGAAACAATCAATATAAATCTTAAGGATACAAGCAACAAAATTACAGTCATACAGTCATAAGTGGAAGGAGATGGGTGGTGGGAACGATGAGAAGATTAATAGTAGTGCAGACTTAGTAAATAGTTTGACAGTGTTGAGGGAAGTATTTGTTTAGCAGAGTGATGGCATTCGGGAAAAACTGTTCTTGTGTCTAGTTGGAGAAGAGAAGAGAAGAGAAGAGAAGAGAGAAGAGAAGAGAAGAGAAGAGGAGAAAAGAGAAGAGAAGAGAAGAGAAGAATATAGAAATAGAAGAGAAATATAGAAGAGAAGAGAATATAGAATAGAATTAGAATAGAACAGTAGAGAAGATAGAAGATAAAAGAGAAGAGAAGATAGAATAGAATAGAATAGAATAGAATAGAATAGAATAGAATAGAGAATAGAATAGAATAGAATAGAATAGAATAGAGAATAGAATAGAATAATAATTAGAATAGATTGGGTGCTTTGCAACTCTCTTTGCAAATACCCGATTGCACATCATGAGTTTGCAAAGAGAGTTGTGGTGCACAAATAAATGAACAGGGAACCCCCATAACTTGTGTGGGGGTTAGAAATGAACTTAACCTTAGGCCTAATAGCACTTTTAGTTTCCTGCTCTAAAGTGACGCTATTGAAGAAAAGCGTTTTAAGTATTCAAATATTCATTGCACAAGAGGCGGTGTAGAGATATCGCTGTGAGAAATCAAGGCGGAATCCTATTTACATGGCTTGCATGATTTGCCAAGCAGTTTCAGGTTAATGTTATGTTGGATTTGCCTTCCTCTGATCTGTGGCACACCGGGAAGTAAAGTTTATCGTGGTTTGAACTGCCATTTCTTATCTTTTGGTTGCACTGTGGACTGAGAGAAACACAGCCATTAACCGTAGAGATTGTATCTTGTTTCAATAGTAATTTTATGAAAAATTACAAAGAAAAAGATGGACGTTCGTACAAAAGAAACGTAAGGGGAAGAATAAAAAGGAAAAAAAAAAGTGGAAAATAGGAAAGAAGAAAAAAAGAATATGCTAAAGAAACAGAAAAATAGATCAAGAAATGATTGTTCCCTTCATCACAGGCATAAATAATTTTAATAACTGATCACGTACTCTTAAAATATCCTAGACAACTTTCTCGGATTGGTAAATATACAGTACAATAAAAATTCATAGTACAGGTAGCGCTTGATTTACAAACACAATTAGGGCCAAAGCATCTGTGGCTAAGCAAGACGGTTGTTAAATAAATCACTGCAGTTACCGTAAGTGAATGGTGGTGTCGTTAAATTGAATCTGGCTTCCTCATTGACTTGGCTTCTCAGAAGATCGCCAGAGGGGATCTTGGGAAGTTGCAACGTCATAAATATGAATCATCATCTATAATTATAATCCAACATTATCCTTTGTCTTTCCCATCGTTTCTGGGTCCAATCATACCACATATTCTAACTACCATAAAAGTCTAAGTCTCTTTTACCCTTGATCAGTTTTGTAAGTCTGTCGGACTCTGCACATTCCATGATTTTATAAATTATTTTTGAGTCTGTTGGTAAGTCCTCGTTCTTCCATTCTTGTGCGAATGCCAGTCTCCCTTCAGTAATTATGTGCAGCGTCAAATACCATTTAGTCAATGCAATATTTGCGGGTCTAACCCCCAACAAAAAAGTTTCCAGTTTCAGTTCCACTCTACAGTATGTAATTTCAAATAACCATCGTCGTATTTTCATCCAATATTTAGCTGCTAGCAGGCATGTCCACCATTGGTGGAAGTAAGTTCCATTGCTATGCCCACATTTCCAGCACTGTGAAGATGTCCCGGGGAACATTTTAGCTAATCTTGCTGGAGGTAGGTGCCATCGATAAACCATCTTATAAATATTCTCTTTATAAGAGGATGCCATAGTTAATATAGAGCCTGGATAGCTCAACAGACAGAGCTCTGTAATTTAACACCAGCTGTCTGCAATTAAAGTAAGATCGAATCTCTCCAGGCTCAAGGTTGACTCAGCCTTCCATCCTTTCTAAGGTAGGTAAATTGAGGACCCAGTTTGTGGGGGCAATAAGCTGACTATGTATAAATATACAAAAGAATGAAGGCTATTGCTTAACGCAATGTAAGCCGCCCTGAATCTCCGGAGAAGGGCGGCATATAAATCAAATTAAAAAAAAAATAATTAAATTTTTAAGCCAATTTTTTGAACCATGCAATTTTTATTTACTGCTCACTTATGTGAGAATGGATGGAAAGTTAGTCTTTTATAAAATGTATCGGAAGAATTCTAAAAGACTTTAAGTCAATAACTCTTACTGCAAGCCTCAGTAGCAAGGCCAAATTAAAAACCACAAATGATAAAGAGACAATCACTGTGTGTCAGCTCGATCTGAATGTTCAAGGAAGTAAGCCCACACTCCGGACAAATGGTAAAAGACAAGATAAAACAGATCTTGTTGTAACAAGACAGGGGTAATTACGTTTGTCATAAACACAGAATGTAAGGGATCTTAGGCGTGACGTATATTGTGTGGAAATGTATAAATGCATGGTGTGAAACTTGAAAAGCGTGCTTCACGATTTCAGTCCACACCAGGAAGGACGTGAAGGCCTGCTTTGCAAACACAATTCAATAAACTTTCTTCGTTTGACAACATCAGAGTTGTCTGTCGAATTAGTGAGTATAAATTTTGGATGTTTTCAAATCTCACACTTGGGAGATTCCGAAAAAAAAAATTGTGTTACACACCA